TGTTCGGAAGTTTGTACGAGTAGTTCGTTTCGCGATTAAGTGTTTCTACTGTTAGTTCTCGCGACCAGAAACAAATCATGCAGAATAATATCACAATACGTAAAGAGAGCAAATTGAGAGGCTTCAAAATCACATTGCTTCCTGAAATGGTAATAATGATCGAAGCTGTCGAAATTTTGTAATAAGCAAGTTCACAAACAAGGTGGTAAATAGCAACAATATCCATGCATGACGGCTGAAATAACTTAAAATATTTAATGCATAATGTGCCATGTGGTTATAAAGAGAAATACGTAATTGATTTAAGAAAACACTTTGTGTGATTGTTCCTTAAACTATGAAAGTTTAGAAAACATCTGCCGAACGTGTTTTCCTCATATCTAAAAGATTTTGTCTTCTTGAGGTGTTCATTTTGCAATTCAATAGTGTTTAAGAATCCGTTTTTCAACCGGAATCTACAGTTATTAAATATAATAAGTTTGTGATAATCTGAATTTTATGAAATGAAAAAATCAAAGTCAATAGAAGAAAACAGTTCAATCACAATGGAAGTTCTTACTTGAAAAAGTGATGTTTTGGGTTTATTTAGTCCTGTAGGTGTTGTAGTTTAGTCCTGTAGGTGTTAGTCGTACATCGTAGTAGTTTAGTAGTACATCGAAGAGACTGAAGACATTTTTTATTTAGTGTAATTAAAGTAAAGTTTAACGAAAATGATAATTACATGCAAATATCACCTGGTGCAAACAAATAATGCGTTCAGTTTGACAGTTTAATATGCTACCAGACTTATTATGACTGCAGAAAACATGGTGACCCCTAGTATTGCGAGCACTCACAAAGAGTGCTAAAACTACAGGATTAGTCCATTTGTATAGTAATAATCTATCACGCTGGATTTAAGACATGTAGCTCTATTTTTTGTTTGTAACGATGAGCGCGTTACTTCGGATGTGAAAATGTTATACTCCAATTTAATCAATCATTTTAAAATACTCCCTTCTCAATGGGTACACTCACATGAAGGTCTGGAGAAAACAATGCATAAAACATTTCAGTTCCCCATTATATTAATCTTTATATCCAGGAAATTTATTTCTATATGTTAATGTTTATTAATTTAGATTTTCATTGACATCTTTGTAAATATGAAACTACTCATATGCTACGGTTAATCTCTCTCCAATATTGTTACCGATTTTGGTTATTGTATTGCTTTCTCACTTCAGATATCACCTTTCTCGCGTTATGGGTCTACTCCTAAAACACTACATTACCGAAGTAATATTAGTTGACACCTCTGGTAACAGTTGTACTATACTATTCTATGGTACTTTTACTATAGAAACTTCTTAATCACATACTATAGAATATATAATAATTATTTTGAAACAGAATTATGACTACATTAATCAAGCAATTCTTGAATGCATTAAATCATTTACATTTATATGACGTATTACAAACTAAAGTGCAAGAGTACTAAGCGAAAAAGTCTTTCTAACGTTGAGAATTTTCTTAGGTAATTCGTTTTGAATAAGAATAACTGATTATTATTCCAATGTCGTTAGCAGACACTGTTTTAAAGCTTTCTTATGACCGGAAACGCAATCAGTGATTCAGTGTTGATTGTCTCGTTGACTGCGGTATAAGATGACGTCATGTTCTATCGGTTCCATGTAATGATGTGGTGGACACGTTAACGAGACATGGGAACTAATCTTTTAATTCCGCATTCATATTTGAATATGAAATCCGCATTCATATTTTGTGATTGTGATTTAGTGAGTTCCATTTGTAACACAATTTTCCTCCAGAGGAGTTTGCAGAATGTGGTGATGTGTTTCTGTACCTGAATGATTTCAAAGCGAAGCTGGCAATTATGGGTTTGCTCTCCTGATATTATGCACTAAAGTAGATTTAGAATGGTCTTGGTACACACATTTTGTTATTGCGTTAGTTCGAAAATATTGTTTGTTTTTTTTCCAAAAAGTAAACCTCACCTAGGGAAATCAATTTTACTCCCTTCTCCCTGTTTTCCGCAGAAAAAATACATTAGTTACATGTATTCATACCTTACAAAATATTCAAAATTCAGCAAAATCGAAGGGGAGGTGGTCACCTCAGAATAAGTGAGGTACAAATGAATTCTCGCCTGCATGCAAATACCGTGTCCGACCCAACAACGTTGGTGCTCAACAACAACAAAAAGTTTACCCTTGTAAGAAGAAGGAGAGGATTTTAAGCCACAGTGTCTCATTTGCTTAGAGATGCCTTCCGTGATGCAACAACGTTACGATATGACAGCCTCTTTTGCGGTGACCGTCGTAAGAGGAAGAAGTAGAAGAAATAGTAGTAATAGAAGACGAAGAAGAAGAAGAAGAAGAAGAAGAAGAAGGTTTGAAATGCTTAGAGCTGCCACAAAAATTACATTTCCGGTAACCCCTGTAAGAAGAAAAGAAAACCAAAATACTTGGAATTGCGGTGCCCAAAGAAATAACAAGAACCACAACCGCTTCTGCGGTAACCCTTGTAAGAAGAAGAAGAACGAGGAAGAGGAGGAGAACAAGAAGCAGGAGAAGCCGCCTCACCTGCTTGGAGTTGCCGTGGCCGTTGCCGCCGCCGCCGCAGGGGCAGCCGAGGGCGTGGCCGTGCAGGTCCAGCGGCTGCAGCAGCGCGGGCGACAGCACCACCGGCCGGGCAGTGCTGGGCCCCGCCACGCGCCCGCCCCACGGCCCCGCTCCGCCCCCGCGCGACGCTCCGCCGCCCCCGCCGCCGCCTCCGCTCAGCGACAGCTGGCTCGTGCGGCAGCTCGACGCGCCGCTCCCCTGCGCACATATATACACATGTTAGGACAGAGCGTCTCCAAAATTAAAATAATCATATTGTAATAGTATATTAAAAAACTAGTTTATAATGTTACGCTTTATTGCATAAGTACATGTTTTGAACACGTTTTCAAACTTGTACGAATGTATTGCAGCAACATTATAAACGAGTTGCATGTGTTATTTTTATTTTGTATAACAGCTTTATAAATTTATAAGAGAATTAAAGAAAGTTTTGAAAGCAATATTATAACGTTACGCGTATTTGATAATTGTTCGAAAAAACGGTAGTCGGTCGCGCTGTTTACCGCCAACGCCTCACGATTCGCTCGCTGCGATTCCGTAAGCTGTGCGGCTCACAATCACCTTCTCGCGAATCGCTTTCTGCGATTCGCTGATGTGTGATTACGCAATTATTCGTGCCGTAAACGGCTAATACGTCATAATCTGTGCCATAAAATCCTTGCAAAGAAGAAAGTCTATTATGACGCTGGTAAACAAAAAAAGATGTTTAAAAAATGTTACATATTTTGTGAATTTATTTTAATTTGATTTACTTTACATTAAATACTTTTAAAAGTTTGATGTCTATGTGTTCGCGCAGAGTTTAAGTTCAGGCTATTTGTCCAAAACTTTAAATTATTTAATAAATGCTGGAGGCTTTTGTAACATATAGTAAACTTGAAAAAGCTGTTGATTTTCATTGATCGTTTATATAATATTTTATCTATTATATATAAATTTTTCGCTCATTTGAAATATAAAAATCCTAATAATCAAATTGGTGATATCAATATTTAATATCCAAAAATATATTTTCTTTAAAATTTCTCAAAAATATTGTAAAAAAATGCAAGTAATATTTCATACAATATTTTGCGCATGCAACCGCATGTGCCCGTGGTCATAATTGTCTCCTTTCAGCAATATCTTGCTCATACTTCAATCCAATTCTAGTCCCCGCAATAGCCGGCAATATCTTTTCGAGGATGGAAACACACGAGTTTACATTACGACCGGAATATCTAGCAAGAAATATTGCCAATATCAGAAATATTTAATGCCGCAATGTTTAAATTGGCAACTTTTATTGCGAAATAATATTGCTCGCCATTTACTTGCAAGTGTGAAGCCAACATACGCCTTCATGACCTCCTTTCTCTAGACACAGTGATGGTTTTCATTTGCCTTCCTTCGTAGATGAGTGGCTTGGATCACTAACACGATAAGCCATGTACTAACAAAATAAGACACTCTTTCCACAAAATTGAGATAGTATTATTTTCGAATAGCAGGAGGCTTGCTGTGACTGGTGGGGCTTATTTTGATACTGCTCCAAGCCCTTCTTATGTGATGGCAGGGAAGAATGATAATGGGGAAAGAACTGCGATGGGATGATGGTTCAGATGTGATACGTGATAGTGCAAGCATTACAACTGAATGCTGGAAACACCCAAGCTTTATGTAGGACGCGAACATTCCTCCACGAAGTTGAACAAGAATGGCAAAGTACCGTTATTCTAAATTATCTTGAGAGCTCGTACATATTCGGGATACTAAAGCCAATTTACCTTTTTGGATTGGAGCGTCTCTTCTTTAATCGTTCACCGTTACTCATGCCACCGTCCAATATGACGTGGATCGTACTTAACAGAACACCTTTCACTTCCACATGTTTAACAAATTGTACCCATATTTACGCGAATGGACATTCAGGATGCGGCCAGCCACGAACCTGTATTCTGAAGAAAATCAGAAGCCGACGAGTTTCGCTAAAGTTTCACATGCGGGATTGTTTTCACACTCGTTTGGGTTTTTTGAGCGGTAAAAGTGCACCAAGAAAACTGCTACTTTCCGGGAATGTGTATGAGTCCTTTGCAGAAGTGAACTTTAAACAATGCAGCGAAATCTCAGCCCCAACGATGTACACGCGGCTCGTCTCGGGCAACCAAGAACCAATTTCTGGCCTTAGAAACCCATTCAACCACGAGCCACTTATATTTTCCTTGGCCTGTTGAAACGGTTGTGCTCATCTGACGATGATTCCTTAGATCCGTATCTGAAGTAAGTTACAAACCGTCGAATTTCGTTTCTGATAATTTTACAGCCAGGATTTGTGCTAATAGACGCTCGTGTTTGGGTAAAACGGTATGGGTAAAGTGTCACGTATCCCAAACGTTTATGAACCCCTCCATATCTTGATATCAGTGGTAATTGATTCTCTGGCCTATTGCATGCCCAGTTTAGAGCAATCTTAGCTTTTCCTTTCAAGATGTAGCTTCAAACGATTCCGTTTACTGGGATGCTGAAACTATGACGTGTATGGAGGCGAGACTGGTACCGGCTGAGTTCAGGTACCAGTCTTCGCACCGGCTGGTACATTCCGAGACTGGTACCTGCTGAGTGAAGCTCAGATCAAGTATTGACACTGTTTCTGCAGCGACTCTGACGATAGGTTCTAGGGTTCGAGACCTGACGGTGGCGTATTTTAGACGGTAGCTCCATTAGCTAGGTCGAATTCAGACGCTGTCTGGAGATTTCTAGCAGCTGGCTACTCTGAACGATATTTTTGAGTAGTTTCCTTGATCAACACCAGGCGAATGCCGGAGCAGTACCTTAACAAACGGACCGTGAACCACGCACGAACGTTTCTTCCTCTTCCTTTTCCTATCCTCACCACTTACTTACTCACACTTTCACTTACATGCCACACATTTAGAGAGGCCAGTCGGGAGTTTAGAGAGTGGGGTGGTGCGCCATTTAGGGAAGATACCTGGAGAGGGAAGCCTCCCTCAAAAGCCGACGTGTAGGTCGGCGCCGAATCTGACCATTCAGCTAGGAAGGAATCGCCACAAAACATCAATCGCCCCATTCCGTGTGCGCGTTTGGCTCACCTGGTGATGGTGGTGGTGGTGGTGGTGCGAGGAGAAGTGCGGGTGGTGCTGCGGGTGGAAGACGGCGGAGGCGGACTTGAGCAGCGGGCGCGGGGTGGCGGTGCCGGACCCGCCTCCCCCGGCTGCGCCTCCGCCTCCGCCAGCCCCGCCGCCGGCGTCGTGCAGCTGCTGCAGCTGCTGGAGGGAGCCCGGCCGCAGCGAGGAGAGCGACGGCAGCGACGTGTCGGCGGTGCTCACGCTGCCCAGGGAGCCGTTGCCGTCCGGCCTCAGCGCGAACGCCCCGCCGCCGCCCACGGCGCTCAGCGCGGCCGCGGCGCTCGGCACGGAGCGCGGCCGCGGGCCCTGTCGCACACGCACACCCGTCACAGGGATCCTTGACATCCAACACGACACAAGACCCAAACCGTCTATCTCAGTAGAGGCGTTTGAATTTGAACAATCGGGTAGGCACCTGGTTCGAAGAGAAAAACTGTAACTCTGACCTCTGTTTGCAAACAAATGAATAAGCCTTTTTTATTTATCACACGTATAGGGAGCCATATTTTAAGACGTGTCAGTACACAATACCCGGGAAATTTTGAATTGTGAATTTTTTTTCAAACAATTTTTTTTTGCTTCTCTCCGAGTCTGTACAAGCCTTTATGAATTTCGGTTTGGCATCCTCTTACTAATGACATGCTACAACAATAGAGTATAAACAACGCAATGTGACACGGTACTCATATCGAATATTCTCCTTACTGTACTCCTTAAATCTGATCGTTCGGTCCAAAAAGAGAGTGAATCTGGGGTATCATCTCTTGATGCAATAAGGGAGTGAAAGCAGAATACAAAGGTTGTACTCGTAGATGGGCGATGCTGCCCAGGGAACCGTTGCTGTCCGATCGTAGAGCGAAATCTCAGGAGCCTACGGCGCTCAGCGTGGCTCCGGCGCTGGCAACGAGCTAGAATGTAGAGTGACTGACAGCACTTTTGGTGGACGCTTGCCGATCTAGGGCCGCCATGTTTTTTGCAGTCAAAATATTAGAGAGGCCTGATGATGGCGTGTAGAACTGTTGTACTGAATGGACGTGGTTTGTACCAAATTTTATGTGTGTTGTTGCCTTTTCATTTATCTGTATTTAAATTATATTAGTGGTTAAAATAGTAATAATATTCACAACGCCTTCAGTATGGTCGGCACATAACTGTAAAAAGAAGTATCAAACCAAGAAGTTTATCATTTTTCAAGTTTGCCGCCTTATTTGTGTTCTGTTTGTTTGCTTCTTATTGCAATGACATTCACATTCAGGCGTTATGCTAACTACAATAACATTTCAACAGCTTCCATTATCATGACAATACCTAATGTAGAGAGCAACGTATTTTTTAAAGTTTCTCAAATCGTTCTCCTTAAATATCGTGATTTTGTATGTAAATTATTTGTTTTTGGTCTTAAAACAAAGAGTAAGAGGATTTATTACGCCTTGTACGCGCCCACCCACCCTTACCCAGTGCAAAACTTCGTACTCTGTGTCTCCAGAGGGCGCTGCTTCGACTGCAAAAACATGGCTTCAATTTGCTGCAAAGATGACGGCGCTTCAGCCACACTATGTAGTCTATTCTATCACGTTGGGCGCTGGGCATTCCGCGAGGATGCGGGCACTGCGTAAACACAACTATACTGCTGATGCGTCCTCCTTACCCATAAGCCACAAGCCCAAACCCGTCATCTCCAGTAGAGACATTTTAATTTGAAATCTAGCACCAAAAGAACAGGAAGCGCACTTTTTTGCATTATTTTAAACTTGTGCAGTTTTTGGAAATTTTAATTTCCAAAGAAAAAAATTAAAGCAAAAACATGGAGCGGATTTTGATAAAATCTTGATTTTACAGTTATTTTTATTGCTGCCAAATTTCGCGACAAAATTCTCGTAATTTGAAAAAAAAGTACTTGATCTTATTTAAAGATCTGTTTTTGAAGAATTTTATTACGAGCAAAAAAAAAAATGAAAGGAAGAGAGGGAAAATAAAATATTAGTGTAACATTAGGACCGATAACAATTATATAAGCAGATGCGTATCCATAGTTCAGTCGATCGGCTATTGGTTAGTTGAAACTTAACACCGACTGCATTGGCAAATTTACTTATAAAATTACTCTTCGAATGGAGTTGCGAAGGCAACAAAGTCGTTTCGTAAGTGTGCTAATGCGAGGAGCTCTTCCTTTTCATAACAGAACATTGAATAATTCAGAAGACAACGAAGATTAACTGTCTTTCCGCGAATCTGTAAAATCCACGTGAGACTTACAGGACAGGAAACGAGGAAAAATGGAACTATGACTTTAGGACGACATTTATCATTGTGAATTACCCCTGACAACCACAATGAATTTAACGCTCGCGGTGGAGGTTATGGTTTCTATTTGCTGTCAGTCTTACACGTGAGAAACGAAATGAAAATTTTAATGTGAGGTTGTGGACGCAAAGTAAAAGGTCTTAAGTCAAGGTTTGGTCAAATTGAGTTAAGTACGTTAACTGTGAGTTAAAAGCTACCTATATTTTCTTTTAGGAAAATGACTAAAGACAAATGTCATCTCTTTAACAAAACAGACACTGGGAAACTTAGTGTATGTCAATTTTTGGTCCTTCGTAATCGGGTAAAACATTTTAAGTCACATAAAAACTGCTTCACATTCAAAGTGCTGAATAAATATTCTTAGGACAAATTAGTAGCTTTTACCCAGCTGCGGATAACTTATTTTTGTAGTATTTTGACTTAACAAACAGTTTCGAGGAATTTTATTAGGATATTCAATGGTATCAAACATTTTACGTGGAGACGTCTGAAGCTTCTTTGGTCTGAAGTGTTAAGCATATGTCGGTAGCAAAAAAATAATATATGAAGAAGAAACAGGAGACGGAAAAGAAGAAAGAGAAGATTCACAAAAAGAATGTAGAGGGGAAAAGGAGAAGAAGAAATAATGTTATGTTGTCTCCGCCATCATATCTAAGAAATTATTAAATGATCTCTTATAATGCGTGAAATCACTATTTCCCAATCGTGGTTCAAACATCCTAAGTCATAAACTTTCACCGGGTAAAATAACTTCAGTTATTTTTCTTATAATTTGTGTAGTTGAAGTTCTAGTAAGTAACACGTTTATTAAAATTTGTGTTTAAAGACGATTACATAAAATAGAACCTTAAGACAAGAAACATTTTTCAAGTTACTACTCATAAACAAATGGTGCTAAAACAGCGCGTACTTTCTCGCTGAATTTCTCAATTTACGCGAAAAGGACTCAAATTTTCGAAAAATTGTAAATGACCTTATTTCAAAATATATTTTTAGGGAACCGATTTAACCAAGGGGGAAATTTCCATTTTCATAATTGTAGTTGTAGGAAGACGCGAAACAAAATCTTGAATATTTTCAACTTGCGAAAAATCAGAGTTTACAACGAAAATGAAATCTTCGCCATGCTTTTGAACGTCTTTCAGACAATCCAACAGCAAAATTAAATTGAAAACGATGGAACATTTTTTTTTAATTTTGAAAATGTCCCAGGGACTTCATGAAAAGTACCCTCCAAAATTAAAATATTGATTTCAAATTCAAGGGACCGGGTGCTTTGTATATGATCAAACAGTTGAATGATTTTTCTGCTAATGCAAGGTGATGGAGGAAAAAAGTGTCCGGGAATTTAGAAGTATCACAAGATATTGTCGTGCCAGATGATATTCTGGGGGAAACGAAGCCGTAAGCTCTAGTTTGAGGCCTTCTAAATCTATAACCACTTATGAGAAAGCTTATGATTTATTTTGTGATTGGCGAACGAATGCTAAGAGATTACGCTAAGTTGGTTGCTAAGGCTCTAAGTGCGTGTTTACCAACGTAAATACAAAAAAATTACATGAAACAGTGTTTCTCAAACTATTTTTATACATAGTTGCCATCATTGTTCAGAATTTGACCCAGCGGGAAACCAACGTTTCTATGCCCTCTTTCAGCATCTTTCCATGAAAAGGGCATAGAAAAGTTGGTTTCCAGCTGTGACAAATTCTGAACAATTATGGCAACTATGTAGAAAAATAATTAAAGAAATGCCCTTTCATGTAAAACTAAATTTTGTTTAGAATAACAAATTTTTATGAATTTTTTCCTAAAAGGGTACTACAAAACACGCATGGTATTTGGAATAGCACCAAGACAGCGCTACCAATTTCTGTCCTCCGTTTGCACTAGCCAAATGACGGAAGAATGGACCATCTAAACGGGCGTAATTTGGGGAGTGGCTCACCTGCCCATGACTGCGGGAGGGGGCGCGCAGGGGACTGCCGTCATGGCGACGTGCCAGTGTCCGTCCGCCTCCCCCGCTCCCGCCTCCGCCGCCTCCGTCGCCGCCCATGCCACCGTTACCGGCTCCATGGTGCCACACCCCGCTGCCCACGTCGCCCATCTGCAACACCTGAACACATGCAAACACTTGGATGTTGACCTGGTTTCACTCTCCACAAAAAATAAACAAAAGAAGTTACTTAATCAAATCTGCATTTGAAGGGATGATCTTGCTAAATCAGCTTTTCTTTGGATAAGAAACTAATAGATCGTACTTGTCGGTTTTGAAACAAATCTCTCCAATTTTGTAGTACTACTTTATCTCTAGTATGTTGTTCCGTGAGGCAAAAAGGATTAATAGCCAGAGTTCTTAACAGGCTTTAAAATTAAGTTTTTGAGTAATAATTATTGTTAAAATAATGAATGAATAAGATTTGTGAATTTATAGATAGTTTTATTATTTTTATATGATAAACTATTTATTATGAAAATTGAGCACTTTATATAGTTATGTGACTAAGCCTTTTAAATATTACAAAAACTAATGTTTAAAATTTTCTCTTTACTTATTCTTTCGACGAATTTTAAGTTTAATATTGTATATGTATTTGTGAGAAAATGCTTACTTAATTTACACACAGTGAAATATATTTGGGTAATCGAATGACCGATAAAAATCGTGTTTTTAAAAATATGCCAAATATCCGTGTAAACATGTAATAATATAATTTACAAAACAGAAATGAAGATTTACAAATTCATTAATTTCTTTTTTATGAAATAAACCGAGAAAATATTTTGTTTTTAGACAAAGGAACTAGTTTCTATTTTCATCTTTATGGGGCAACGTTGATGATTGAAGAACTAGTTGATTTCGAAGTTCTATTCAAGTATCTAGAACTTTCCGTGACTACACTAATATTTCTCACGCCATGAGAATAGATTTTTAAGAATGGATAGTTGCTACGTATGAGAGGATGACGATAAAGTAGTGATTTATGTAACTGAAGGTTGAATTTCATCAGTAGATTTTGAAAGAACGCTTTTGGCTATTAGTTTCTTTTGACAGTTTTGAAGGACAGAAATGATTAAAATATCTTTTAAAAGTTGTCGTGTTGATGTAATTAATTACAGATATCCTTCAGTGCACTCACATATTTAAATGAAAAGTATTTGATAGATGCGAAAAAATATTCCGACATTCTGCTGCGGAAGTGTCCTTAATTCAACAATTTTCTAGAAGAGTTCACGATATAACTTTACTGCTTAGTGTAGTGCTTAGTGCTCACTAAGCGTTACTTGGTATATCTGGATAACAGAAAATTCGAGTGCTTCAAGGGTTACTTCTCTCATTATAAATTTCTCAGACATCAATTTGCCTTTTGACTGAATTTGGGTCTCGTGCGAGAGGATCACGTGCACGACCTGACATTTCCAATAAATTGCAGTGAGTGTGCGCTTTCATCTCGACTGTGAAGGTCAAGAGACGACTAGAGATCCTTAAGAAAATTCAGCTCACTTATATATGACGTCATTAAAGTGGCATCTTAAGTGCGGAAAACCATGGGAAATGCACGAAAAAAGAAAAGAAAGTATTGTTAGAAAAATTGTTGTATCCTTGAGTATTAGAATTTTGGTCTTATACAACTTGATCCCTTTCCCTTTTTTGTCTTGGATTGAAAGTATATTTGTGAAACCTACATTCAGCTTATTACGTTGTTTGATAAATCATAGGTTATAAACAAATAATAATATTCACCAAAAGATTCAATTTATTGAGACCCTTGTATTTTCAAGCCCTTTATAAACATTTGAATCTCTGTTGGGCTGTTAACTCTTTTCAAAATGAAAGTAATATTTAAATTACGTACAATAAAGATTTGGAATAAACGAACCAAAAAACAGTTATGATATCCTATCGTTTGTTCTTAACCGCGTTTGGTACACTGAGCTTTTAAATGAAGAACACAATTTCTATAAATAGATTCATTCGTCACAAACAACATAGCTCTAATTTCTTAAGAGTGACAAGTAGGATGGGAGACAATCACTTCACTTATAGATTTTCAGTTAATTAATACTTCATATTGCGAAAAGACACCTCCTCAGATCTTGCGCATATACATGGCATAAGGAGGATCAGGTAAACATAACTCAAACCATTGTCAAATGGAGCATCAAGTAGGTATTTAATGATCTAACACCTTTCAGGTACTGAGGTTCATCTTTGCTTCACTAGGTACTAGGAAATATGAGAAACTTTTATTCAAATTTCTAAAGAAATAGTGTTTTGGAAAATCCGAAGAAGTCGTGTTTATTCATGACGGAATAGCACACATACTTCGGCACACGTGCGCTGGCTATGATATAATGTTTGCACAATACGTGCTTGTACAAACGTAGATATTTGCATACTGCGAGCAAACGTACTATGATCTCTAGGAAGTCACCATAAGCGATAGGAATACACGATGTTTCTCTGAACGTGTACGCATGAATGTATTTTCCATAGCCCTATAATGTACATTGTCCATACAAAGAGTTCTTGTAAATTACCATTTTTGTCTCAATTTCTTGGAAAACTCTTCATAATATAACAGCACAAACAACCGGTCAAACAAAACAGCAGGACAACAAAAGAACATTCTTGTTGTTTTTTGTTCTGGTGATTTGTTGTTCCCACATAAGTGCGAAAATGTTCCGTGTTCCAAGAACCTATAAGCGTAAAAATGTAATAAAAACAAAACATTCTCCCTTTTGCAAAATCTAGCACCATCTGGAGTTACAAATTCATTTGGCTATAGCTCAGTTGAAGATGTTAAAGTAATTGTCTTAAGTTAGATTGTCAACATAAAATAGCCCCTTTGAGTACGGTCGATTTGCGACCGATGCGGCCTTAACTGGCATATTTCAAGATTAACGGCGAGGTCTCGGTCTTTGGCTTCCACGATTACATGGAATATCCTTGAATTCACAAAATTTCCAACGCATTTTGCGCTAAAAAAGGCACAAGGTACTCAGAATAAAAGTCGTAAACTGCTTGTAGAGGATCGAAGATGATCACTATGAATAAGTGGCGAGAAATTACGTAAGTAACAAAGATAAACACGTGACATTTCCCCTGATTGTTAAGGCAACTTCTCTCTAGTATTTGGCAGATAAAGAAAATCTTTTTGGTTGCCTCAGAACGTGACTTGCTGAACGCTACTGCATGAGGGGTTGGCTAAAAAGCAAGAGTAAAGCTCACCCCCGTGTGTCGTCTTTATAAGTAAATTTTCCTCCACAGAAGTGACAAAAAGTATTCTTCTCTGGAAACTTTATGTGCCCTAGAACTTTGTAACATTTTGGCTCAGACACACTTTATAGACCCATCATACGAATACGTAACATTTGTCTCTTTGGGATTTTCTATCAATGTTGCCACATTTTTGCCTGTCATTGTTAATTAGTAAAATTATCTCAAATTCTGAAGATCATTTTGTGAGCGCGAAAGCGTGAATATTTTCTTGACCACGACACTGAACTTTTTGCGCTTCTGTCCTGCTCCACTTTGTCGTTCATTACCTTGCAAAATTACCGGTCTTCCATGCAGGTTGGCTGTAGGGTGGTGGAGGATAAGTTCATTCTCTGAATGTTAGGATGGCGGTAGTGTCAGGAACGCACATGGCTCATGACCCACAGTTTGAGGTACTTCTTTCAAAACCCGTCGAATTTTGATTGAAAAAACAACAAACAATGGAAATGATTGATCAGAGCAACCGGCATCTAGAATTCTCATTCAAGCCGTGACATTGTCAGGCCCAGTCATTTGTATTTAGGATCAAAAATCCTTCACCATGGGCCTCGGACATTAAACCAATTCGTACATGATACTATTAAACCAATTCGTCCATGTAACCATTAAACCAATTCGTACGTGTTACAGTGTCGGAAAGTTTGATTGATAGTGTATTATAGCAGGCCGGTCCAAAATTCAGGCGGTTGACTTGACAACTATGTTATAAAATGCGCATTTATTCGGCGGTTTATCATAGAAAGATAAAAATTAAAACTTACTTTTTTTAATGTTAAGAATTTAATTTTTTTCTGAATCATATTTTTACTAACTCTTTTTTTCGCCGTTTTCCTATGGATTTCTATACATAAGGATCGATTTCGCGCAGTCTTCTTTTAATAATTAAGGCTATTTTGTTTGTAAGCAAATTAAAACAATTTTTATATATAGGGATAAAAATTATTTCTCGTCAAAGAGGTACTGGAACGAAAAAGGTACATCCAATCAGTTACTCGAACCAGAACCTTAAGCAGTTCTGTTCCGGCACTAGAAAGGGGATAACCTTCTTTACTTTCCTTGCTCTCTAGCAACTATTACATACGCGAACACACAGATGGAATTTACTAGATTGAAATTGTTTCCAGAAGACTTCCTTTTGAATCAATCGGCTTGTACTTTATAGCAACGGAGTGTAGGAACGTTCTCATGCGTAGGAGAATTTTGTGCTCCAGATTTTACCTCCAGCTGATCGGCAGCGTGAAGGATCGTGACTTCAGGTCTGTATCGGATGCCCTTCAGCGTGGTTTATAGTAGATTGCGTGCGTTTGCTTGCCGGGAAGAAATTGTAAAACAGATAATGCGCGATACGTATCTGAAAGTAAGGAATGGAATGTTGCACGGGGAAGTTCGAGCCCGGTCCAACCAATGTTCTTGAGTTCAACTTCACGGACGTGGTTTTTGGGATATTTAAAGAACAACTACGCTAAATGTGCAGTTTCAAGGAGCAGTGAAACCCATTTCCCGATAGCATTCTTACTGTTGGAAAATGTGATTCACAGCTCCTTCCAGTCCGGTCTTTTCATTGGAAGTACCTATTTCAAGTGACGTCTGTTGCAGCGAAGAAAGAAAAAGAATATCTGCCGCTTCCTCGGGAGCTCCTAATCGAGCATGGAGGTGCAATCGTGCATGAAGAACATCAACTGACACCGATACCGAAAGTATAGCGACACCACAGACGTCTGCCAGCCCCAGGAGTTGGGGAATGAGGGGGGAGGAGTAGGACCGCAGAGCTGCCACTCAAATTTTTATCCATGCACTGTGGGGCGTATTATTTTCTATGCGATGCAATTATAAAATTCTGGTTCGGTTTCTAAATCGGTTGCAGATTTAAACAACCACCGATTTATATTCCTTTCATTGTTTCATATACAGATACTGTAAGTGAGTTATCATTTCAACAATTACAATTTTAATCTTTGAGCATCGATTGGTTTAATGCTCCTCGCTCTTTCCTTTCCGCCGCTGCCAGCGAAGCTGTAGTCATATCTGCAAACCGAACTCTCTGTCGAATCCTCATTTATTTTTAGTGCGCGCGCATTTCCTAAGCCTCGTTAGCGTCTCGAGACGTGCTGTGGTATACGAGCAATGCGGTTTGCACATCTCGTTCCCATCGATGCGCTCTTTCATGCACCATAACTTGGTTTCAGTATGTCAGTGTCATTAGTCCCATTAGTTAAGGCGTGTTTTCCCGGCGCCGTCCTGCCGTCGGCTAGCGGGGTTTTCCCCAACCAGGTATCTTCCATCAACGGGACTCTGCACCAGCCGCGATAAACTCTAAACCCCCGACCGGTTTCCTGGCATGTGTGGTAGTGTAGCGCATGTAAGTATAAATGTGTTTAAGGAGTGATGCTGGAACAAGGAATGGGAAGGAAATATCGCTGTGCGACTGTGGCCCGTTTGGGTACTGCTCCAGCATTCGCCTGGTATTGATCGCAGACTACGGAAAACCACAGGTCAAAGCAGCTGACCTCTATAACTCTCCTCTAGACAGCGGCAGACCTCGACTTATCTATCTTTATTGTGTCGAAAATCCTGCCACCGTTGAGTCTCGAATCTAGGACTTCCCAGTCAGAGGCACTGCAATGACATCAGTTGATGCCCTCAGCCCCCTCTCCCGGTCGTAGACCCTCCCGCTTCCAGGCTTCCAGGTGACCGACTGATCGAGTTCGGCCAAGAGGTTACGACGCGGACGCGACACGGCGCGCCGCCGCCGCCGCCGCCACCGCCAGAGGAGCTGCGCTGACGTAAGACGCGACTCCCACGGGAGCGACCGCTCCGCCGCCGCCGCCGCCGCCGCCGCCGCCGCCGCGCTGGTGCGGTGGCGTAACTCCGCCATTGTCCTCCGCCCGGCCCCGCACCCGCACCCGCCCCCGCACCCGCACCTGCCGCCCGCCCCTGCGGCTGCGGCGGTGGCTCGCGGCAGGAACGCTTCGCACCGCCTGCGCCGCCCCGTACACGGCGGTGCACCCAGCTGCAGATTTGGGGAGAAACTTGAGGCAGGAACATACGTCATTGAGAACTTCTGGGTCAGGGACTGCCATATCGGCAGGATTTTTTCTCTGGGTTCATTGAGCAATTGGAGAGGTGGACCCTTCATTTTCTTCTAAATACAATCTTCAAATAACTTTTCAAACGTTTCTATCATTTTTATGTGTGTGTGAACATCTCCCGAGACCAACGCTATTTGGCACCTGTGTCCGCCTGTTCACGGTGTTGCACCCAGCTGCAGATTTGAGGAGAAACTTGAGGCAGGTACATACATAATTACGTATTTCTGGGTCAGTGACTGCCATGTCGGTAGGATTTTTTGGATCACTTTCAATGTGTTTGTTCATCGAGCAATTGATGAGGTAACGTCTTTATTTTCTTCTGAATATAATTTTTTAGACTTAATTTTTTTTCTCTCGCGTTAATTTGTGTGAATGTGTACGTCTCCCGAGAAGAACTCATGTTTGGCACCCTGGACGCCTGTTTTCGGAGCTGCTTTCACGTGCAGATTTGGGAAGAAATGTGAGTCAGATATATACTCGTAGATCCTTAAGTTCTTCTGGGTCGCTGACTGCCAAGTCGGCAAGATTTTTTCGATCCATTTCTCTAGGTTCATTGAACAATTGTGTAGGTGGCTTTTTTCATTTCGCCTTCATTTTCTTCCAAATGGAATTTTTTAGGAAACTTTTCAAACGCTTCACACACGGTTTTAACATAAATGTAAACGTCTTTCGAGAGGGACTTTATTTGGAACCTGTTCCGGCCTCTGACGGAGTTGCATTCAGGAGCAGACTTGGGGTACACGCGTGAGACAAGTACATCGTACTGTTCTGCTGGGCCTGTGCACGCAACAAATGTAGGCTTTTTATTGCAGTTTCTCTTAGTCTATTGAGAAAGAACTGATGTATACCCTTACTCTCCTTCTGATTATGAATTTTTAAAACTGTTTGCCCCGTTCCAAACATTTCACACCCGTTAGTAATGTGAATGTGGATGTCTCCCAACAACGCACTTACTCATCTGTGTTCGTCATGTAGATGGAGTTGCTTTCAGTTGCATAATTGGGGTCGATACATCAGGCACGTACATCATTAAGTTAGTTCAGGGTTTGTGAACCCTATGTCGATAGGGCAATTTTTCTTGATCCGTTGAGAAAATACTGAGGCAGTCTCTTTATTTGGTGGTCAATCTGATTGTTATTTTTTCAAGCTTTTCTTCCCCTTCCAAAACTATCACTTACATTTTTAATGTAAACATGAGCGTCTTCCGGAAGTAATGTTCTGGGGTGCATGTGTTTGCCGTTTTAACGGAGTTGCATTCGAATTCGACAGGCATGTACGACAAGTAGACATAATGCTCTTCTGTGTCAGTGAGCACTAAGTCGGTAAAGTTTTTCGATTCAATTCGCTGGACTCATCGACTGATTGCTAGAGTTGTTCTTCTTCTGAACTCTGTAGTTTAAAGTTTCTCAAATATTTCATCCACGTCTTACTGTTTACGTTGGCAGCATTTCGTCACCGTCATAGCCCAGTCAAAGGAGTACCAAGTCCAATCATGCGATCAATTATTTTGACACTGAGGCATGCCAAAAAACTGGGAAGACCGAGTGATGAGTAACAAATGACTTGCATTTATTTCGCCAACGTAAGCTAATTTTTTCATGAGGCCTTATTTCTTCCTGTTGTTTTGCCATTTCACCAATTGGAGAATTTTTGCATGGAAATGATAAAGAAATGTGAACGAAAATCGCAACATGAAATATATATGTTGCTAGAACTTAAGAAAAGTACGTTAGATTTAAAGGTACATTTTTAATGTATTAATCGGTGATCAAACGTTTATGGCGAATTTAAAGGAATGCTTAATGAAAGCGAAGGCTCGTTGAAATGCGGTGATTGTAGCTGTTCTTTTTCTTTAGACAGCCTCAATTTCAATTTATCTCTCATGGAAAACATTTCAACATTCCCAAATGCTTTTAAACATGAGATGTATGAAGTATTACAATACTCTATTTACAAGTTACATCGGAAGCGACTAAATCACTCGTGAAATCTATCCCAACTTTGAACAGCATTCACTCAACTGACTCTTCCAAAGACCATCTCACTGTCGCTGGACCATTTCGCTGAGGGATGCGCTCTTCGTCAATGTTCAGCAGTTTTATAATCTGTCCAAAATAACGGTTGCTAATTTAAACTGACTAGAGACGCGTGAGAAAATGTTGTAATTTTGTAAATAATGTTTTAAATAAAGAATTGTAATTTTTACTGGACGTACGGCGAAACCTTTTTGAATTCTCCAAATACATTGAATACATCCTCAATGATCGGTTGATAGATTGATGTTTTCGAGTACGTCAATCGCTATGGTCATTAGCCTCGTAAAGGTAATGAGTGTTTTATCTCGTGGGCGGCAGCGATCAGCGGATCCGGCAGCGACCTACACATCGGCTTGTGCGGGATTTTCCCTGCAGGTATCTTCCCCAGCGGGGCACTGTCCAGCAGGTTCGAAGATCCCGACTGGCAAGTGAAGTAGTGTAGTGCATGTAAGTGTAAATGTGTGTGAGGAAAGGGATACTATATGACAAGGAAGAGGAAGAAAAATCGCGTGCGGTTCGTGGCTCGTTTGCTCTGACATTCGCCTCGCGTTGATGGGAGAAACCATGGAAAACTCCCTATCAGAGTAGACGGCTGCAAGTATTTTTCTCCCGAAAGCGGCTGAAATCGACTCGTCTATTTAGCTGGGGTCGAAAATTAAGCCACAGCCAGGACTCGAACCCTAGGCACATACAGTCAGTCGCTCCAGATAGTGCCTATACAGACTAAAATAACTCAGTAGAGTCAATTGCGTGTGAATATATAATGTAATTCCATCTCCCCAAAGTTTCATAAAAGACAGAAGATACTACTTTTAGTCATATACAATTGACGCTTCGTGACGTCTTGTCTGCCCCGTTGTCAAGAATGCAGTTTTGGAGGAGACGAGTGAAACAAATACCTTTGAAGTTGTACTTTGTTTGTAACTAAAATCATAATTTGAAATGTTCCTCTGCTTTGAGATACTAAATGTAGATATTCTTGCTCTTTCATAAATTTTTCTTTCTCGTAAGTGTTTCTGGTAATACCGATGTTAAATGAATAAATTATTTTTAAAATGTATCTAATATTCACACCTAACTGTTGAACCAATTTACTCTCAAACCCAGCATGATGACACTTCGATTGTAAGACTAAGTGTTTCACGTTAATAAAATATATTATGTACGTATTCTTTTTGTGTATATAGTCAATAATACGCCCTTCATGGACAACATGTATGAGGGGGACCTGGAATAGATTCCTTGTCGGGGCCAAAAATAAAGTCGCTTTCTAATATAAATCACAGTTTCTACAGTTGCGTGTCGAAAGGATTATGAAATAAAGAATGATGATATAAATGAATATTTGACCCGCGCAATAATTTGCACATGCTTACATGCTCTCTCCAGTTATCTCGACTGCTTGAAGTGCATCTCCAACGTGTCTCGACATGAGCATGCATGACGATGATTATGAATAACTGCTTAATTATTATTATCCTCGTCAGGAGCCCGGTCGAGAGCTTAGAACTTGACCCGGCTGGTGCGGTGCCCTGTTGAAGGGAGATAACTGGTTGAGGGAAACCCTCAAGTCGACGTGTAAGTCCGCGACAGATCTCGTCATCCAGCGGGGGATGGTCATCCCCACAAACAGGCACTAAACTTTCGGGACTAATGGATTTAGCAATGACATGTTCGGAAACACTAATCAATCAACCGATAAGATAGTACTAAAAAGCGTTATTTCGAGTATTCACAGCAACGTCTTTTTACAATAACGCGCCTCGCTGTAGAGACCTCAGGAATTCCATTGACGGAAAGAGACTGCAATCTACAGCACGCGGGTACCAGGATGTGGAAAAGGTACACGCTATGTGTTTGGCATTTTTGAAATGTACAAAGGCACACAATTTTTTTGAAGTACAAGATTGTCTCGTTTTTAAAAAAAGCATTTTCGTTTGGACTGAGATGAAAAGAATGGTTATTTGTCAATCATTTTCCGCAAACTATTTCCATTCGACTCAAGATGTCAAAGTAAAAACAGGGAAGCATTCGTTGTGTGTTTGATGTATTATGGCTAAAATCATAACCAGGCCAGAAACGCACTTTGAAGACAGATAATTATGATAATAAGCTAATGTATGAACAGAGTAGCTTCTATAAAAATAATATTATTAATGTAAACATATCAAATTATTTCTGCTTCATATCCTGGCGTGTGTACGGGCACTTGTCACTCTCAAACAAATACACATTATATAAGTTTATTAAAAAAACCTTAATCCCATGCTGAATTTAATACTACTGCCCTGCAAAACTGAGCAAATCCAAAAGGTGTTTGTGCCAGTTTCACCATCGGTGTTAGACCTCGATACTTATCCACGGACATTATAAAGTTCGACTTTGGAATCCTGAGAGGGAATGTCGACAGTTATCTACGGTGACTAATTGCACAGGCGCTCGTGTTCATTCATGAAGCAAAAAACGTTTCTTCCACATAACCTCAGAATTCATATGAGAAACACTGCAATGCCGGAATTCCCGCTTAATCCCAAGAAGGTTTTAAATGCTATGTAATCTTCTTGCAATTTTTAATTCGTTAACATGCGGCTTTGGATTTTAATGAACTGCCGCTAGATGGCATAAACAAGGTTGTTGGCAGTGTCAATCGTTAAAAGAGTCTTACACTATTAGAGTTTTGATGTATGTTCTTAAAGAAATCGCCAAACACTATTCCATCCAAAAGCTATGATGGGCATATGTACTTCACG